CTGTTTAAAAGCCCCATTCTAATATGGGACACTGACTATCCAGGAAACAACAGTGCAACTGTACACTGAATGCTGTCAAGTGCACAATGCAAACAAGTTCAACAGAGAAAAGAATTCTCTATAATCCCAGTGAGTTATAATCTTTTAAGCTGCTGCTTGTAACGAAAGTTCAGAAAGATGTGTGATTTTTTTTTTAGTTGATTTTTCATTTCAAACGCTTATTTTTTTAGTTCAGCTAACTCAGGGACATAGGGCCAACTAAAGAAATCAGATGCAGTGCCACTTAGGCCAAATGGGGCAACACTGATTTACACCAGTTGAGAATCTGCCTCTATTTTTAAACGTCAAAAGTTGCCATAAACAAGGGCCATTCACAGGTTTGGCGACGCACGTATAATCATGACTGAAAAGTGTATAAACACTGCTTCAGTTTAATTTTAAAGTTGCATGTGTAAATTCAATGAAGACAAGAGATACTGGATGGACAGTCCCTGACACTTATGTATGTATCTATAGAACAGATGGTGCTCAGACAGTAATCTGCAGGCTTCCACACATACCGTACTGAAAAAAATATATATACCTCAAACTTAACTTGGAGGAGGCCCTTTTTAAATGTAAGAGAAGAGTGGCTCACAGCAGAGACTAACAACTCTGCTCGTGTGTTATGATGCACTGTCATTCACGAGAAAATGAACTGAAAACCCATCAATTCATTTTACAGAAGTCATTTAACGGCCATTACACTGATATCTGAACATAAATGTAGAGGAGAAGGGCTCTATGTCCCAACTATGAGCCATTCATCCCCCCTCCCTTCTCTTGGGTTTTTGAATGTACGTGAGTAGAGATGAAGGTCTCTTATTCAACTCTGACCCTTTCCTGTTAATGTGGGGAAATCTTTATAATGTGATTCAAGGAAAACCCATCTCAACACCCTCCCCACACATACACATATTCCATCCTCATAACAGGGGTAACCAGGGAAAGTTCCAGACAGTGAAACGCTCACCTGAAGTAGGTCCACAAAAATCAGCACTTCCTCCTCCTCAGGCACTTTACTGTCACCCAGCACACTCGACAGGGTCCATTTCAGGGGCTTCAGAATGAAGATTCCCACACCCCACGAGATCCAGCTGCTGTCTACACTGGCTATGAAGTCTGACTCCCTCTGCAGTTTGCCACGTCTGAAGAGAGTAAGACATACAAGAATTAGAAATGGACGTGGCAACCCAGTCCCCACTGTGCAGATGGAATCATCAGTGCATGCAGGATCTCTGTGGAGAATCATCTTTAGCAGTAACATTTCCCCAGCACAGAACATGTAAGTTGGTTCACAATTCCAGCAGATTTCACAAGATTGTCTAACTGAGGGATTATTTGGACATCAATTTGAAATCTCAATTTAAAATAAAATTGTATGTACAGTACAATATAAAAATGCTCAAAAATGACTACTGTATTTCCAGTTCATTTACTTAGTGCTTTTGACAGAATTTATACACAATGGTTTACTATAAAATCTTCCCTGTAGTCAGTTTCCTTTCTTATTTGTGCAGGGATTTTCCACACTGCAAATTTATAGAAAGTAGTTCAAGGGACTTCCTCTGCCTACACATCCTTTTGCAACTTTGCTGATTTTACAAATATTTTCCTATGTTGTTCTCTCACTTTACCATGTGCAAATAAAACACACACACACACACAAAGGAAACTGGCTGCAGTGAAGCTCTTATAGTGATTGTGCATTTGACAATATGCATAAAGTACATAAACTGGAAACACAAATCATTTTCTTCACTGATTTACTCCAGACATGACCATTTTGTGTGTGATTTATAACACCAGTAGGTAAAAGATTTTCCGACTGGCATAAAATGTGCAGTGTGTTCCTTAAGTATTTTCAAAGGGGAACAATCTCAGTGCTGTTGCCCCCTACGCTGGATAGAGCCTTTGAAAAAGCAAAAGGTTACCTCCAGTGCCCAAGCAGCTCCTACAGCACCAAACCTAATTCTCCTCTCCAGAGGCCTGTGACATACTGGCCTCCCAGCACCCACTACAATGTGGCCCCATGCACTTTCACAGAAAGCAGCCTTCCCAGTGTCCCTAAGCATATTGCTCCCTATGCCCACTAACTCCTTCTGCCTCAAGCACCCTTTATGAACCTTTCCTGCTACCCATTTGTTTCCAGCACCCAAGCTTCCCAGTGAACCCTAGCATACTGCTCCCTATCACCCTTTCAGCCCAGTGCCCCCTCTGATCCATGCCCATCAGTCCCCCTTGTGCACAGTACTCCACAACTCCTACCACCTTTCCCACCGTAATGCCCCAACGTTCTGTGCCCAGTACACCCTAATGATCACCGGCATATTACCCCCTCGGCGTCCCACATCCCTCCCAGCATTTCCTTGCACCCAAGGACACCCAGCATACCATGCACCCTAGTGCTCCATGTCCCTTGCCTCCCTGAACCCCAAACCCACCAGGATATTGCTCTCGCTACTACCACATGCCCTCTGCACTCCTATGACTTGCATCTCCAGTAACGCCCCAGAAAACTGTCCTCTCTAAATGCCCCACACGCTGCACCTCCAGGAACCCCCAGCATATTGCTCCAGTACCCCACCCCTGCGCCCTGCACCTAGTGACCCCCAGTCACCTCCAGAGACCCCCACCATATTGCTCCCAGTACCCCATCCCTGTGCCCTGCATCTAGTGACCCCAATCACCTCCAATGACCCCCAGCATATTGTTCCAGTACCCCACCCCTGCGCCCTGCACCTACTGACCCCCAGTCACCTCCAGACACCCCCCAGCATATTGCTCCCAGTACCGCACCCTTGTACCTGCACCTAGTGACCCCCAGTCACCTCCAGAGACCCCCACCATATTGCTCCCAGTACCCCATCCCTGTGCCCTGCACCTAGTGACCCCCAGTCACCTCCAATGACCCCCAGCATATTGCTCCAGTACCCCACCCCTGCGCCCTGCACCTAGTGACCCCCAGTCACCTCCAGACACCCCCCAGCATATTGCTCCCAGTACCGCACCCTTGTACCTGCACCTAGTGACCCCCAGTCACCTCCAGAGACCCCCACCATATTGCTCCCAGTACCCCACCCCTGTGCCCTGCACCTAGTGACCCCCAGTCACCTCCAATGACCCCCAGCATATTGCTCCCACAATCCCACCCCTGCACCTAGTGACCCCCAGTCACCTCCAGAGACCCCCACCATATTGCTCCCAGTACCCCACCCCTGTGCCCTGCACCTAGTGACCCCCAGTCACCTCCAGACACCCCCCAGCATATTGCTCCCAGTACCCCACCCCTGCGCCCTGCACCTAGTGACCCCCAGTCACCTCCAGACACCCCCCAGCATATTGCTCCCAGTACCGCACCCCTGCGCCTAGTGACCCCCCAGTCACCCCCAGAATATTGCTCCCACCCCTGCGCCCTGCGCCTAGTGACCCCCAGCATGACCCCCAGCCCCAGCCCCCCCTCCGCCCTAATGACCCCCAGTCACCTCCCCCCCCCAGCATATTGCGCCCCCACCCCTGCACCCCACCTAGCGCCCCCCCAGTCCCCCCAGCCCCCCTCCCCAACCCCCCCCTCCCCCCCCCCAGCCCCCCAGAATATTGCCCCCCCCCCCCCCCCCCCCCCCCCCCCCCCCCCCCCCCCCCCCCCCCCCCCCCCCCCCCCCCCCCCCCCCCCCCCCCCCCCCCCCCCCCCCCCCCCCCCCCCAGCCCCGCCCCGGTACCTGAGCAGCTCGCGCAGCACGGTGCCCAGCCCCAGCGGGACGCTGCCGCGGCGCTCGAAGGCCTGCTGTAGCTCCCGCAGGCAGGTCCGCACCGCCCCGCGGCGGCGGCCCCGGCCCAGCACCAGCTCGGCCCAGAAGCCCATCTTGCTGTCCCACTCGGTGCTGTTCACCTCCCGGCTCTGCTTGAAGGCCGAGAACAGGAAGGCCATACGCTCCTCGTCCGACTCCCACTCCGGGGGCAGGGCCCCCTCCGGGGCCGGCCCGGGAAGCGCCTCCGCCGGCGAGCACATCTACGCGAGCCCCCGGCTCCCAACGCGGCCTAGCCTCCCCCTTCGCCCGGCCGCGGCCCGTAGCCCCTCACTACCGGGCAGCAGCACGGCGCATGCGCCGCCGCCCCAGCCCCGTTTGTGAGGCCTTCCCGCGCATGCGCCATGCGGCTGACTGGCGGGCCGGGCAAAGCTCTCTTCCCGAAATGCATTGCGGGAGCTGGGGTGGGGGGGGCAGAGGGAGGCTTTTCCCGCCCCTGTGTGGCTGCTGGGGGTGCCAGTGCCACCCCCAACATGGGACCCCCCCCAAATATCCATGCCAGCATCATGCTGCAAGGAGAAAGCTGTGTGTGGTAACCCCATGACATCACGGCGCTTCCGAATGACATCATCATGTCCGAGCACGGTGACATGACATCACGCCAGCACGTCACCGCCATACCTCAGGCGGGGTGGGGGGGTCTCCACACGTGTCACAGGGCAGGGCATGGGAATGGCGTCACGGTGTGCTGGGCCTCGTCAAGTCACTGTGACATCACGACGTTCCCAAACAACGCCCTGTCACCTCAGAACGTGGAGTGGGGATGCCACATGATGCACTTCAAGCGCGGCCCGGCAAAACAACACGTCCCATCAGTCTGAGGCGTACTGAAAGGTTACAGCATACTGACGTTATCTTAAAATGTCAGCTCACTCCATCCAACCAGCGTCACGCCATGGCACAACAGGACCACGCATCATCATTACCACTTTGGGTCAAAATGCCTTCACAGCGTGAAATAACATGTCCCAATGTCACGTAGCTAGGTCCAAACTGGCATCAATCACACAGTATCAAAATATGGTGTATTCAAACGTTATCACGTCATATCATTAGCTTTGTTTGAAGTTTCATATCACCTCAAATCATGGAGAAAGTCCAGAGAAGAGCAACAAAAATGATGAAGGGTCTAGAAAACATGACCTATGAGGGAAGATTGAAAAAAATCGGGTTTGTTTAGTCTGGAAAAGAGAAGATTGAGAGGGGACATGATAACAGTTTTCAAGTACATAGGTTGTTACAAGGAAGAGGGAGAAAAATTGTTCTTAACCTCTGAGGATAGGACAAGAAACAATGGGCTTAAATTGCAGCCAGGGAGGTTTAGGTTGGACATTAGGAAAAACTTCGTGTCAGGGGGGTTAAGCACTGGAATAAATTGCCTAGGGAGGTTGTGGAAGCTCCGTCATTGGGGATTTTTAAGAGCAGGTTGGACAAACACCTGTTAGGGATGGTCTAGGTAATACTTAGTCCTGCCATGAGTGCAGGGGCCTTGACTAAATGACCTCCCAAGGTCCCTTCCAGTCCTATGATTCTATGGCATCATAATATATTGTGACACTATCACCACATTACCTCTGGGGGGGTCAAGTGTCATCCAACTTGCAAAGCATCATCCTCACAACATAATGAAGAAAAATTCCTCATTATTATTATTATTATTATTATTTAATGTCATTTATCCTACAGTAGCACCCAAATGCAGCAATCAGATAGGGGGTCCCATTGTGCTGAATGCTGGAATAAAAAAGGAGAGATTGTCTTGACGCATCATAATCAATTCACAACACAATGTAATAATACTTAGCTCTTATATAGCACTTTTCATCAGTAGATCTCAAAGCACGTCAATCTTTAATATATTTCTTCTCACAACATCCCTGTAAGGTAGGGAAGTGCTATTATCCCCATTTACAGCTAGGGAACTGAAACTAAGTAACTTTCTCAAGGTTATACAGGAAGTCTGTAGCAGATCAGGAATTGAACCCGGACTGCCCAGATCTTAGGCTAGTGCCCCAACCACTGGATCATCCTTCCTCATCAGGGTGTGCCAAACATCCCTATCTAGGATTAAAATGTCATCTTGTCACATTGAAACTTCATCACAAAAGAGCAAAGCCCCATCACATTGTACAAAAAAGTATCACTTTAACCAAACGGTCATGGTGTTGTGCAATGCAAGATCACCCCACTGAGCGGCAATGTCATTGCATCAGGTCACTCTGTGATCACGTCGTGGTGAAAAACTAAATGAAGACTTCTGTATTTTGTGCTCATCTAACAAAACAATTTTATACAATTGAGCCATTGACCGAAGACTAGGTGTTTCTCATGACAAAAAAACGTCGATCAGTAAATATACAATCTAAGGCCAATCATAATCTGTGGGAGATGCTGAAGGTGTCTTCATTTGAAAAGTATTTATCCAATCAAGGAAACCCTGCCAGCTAGCTGTATGAAACAGCAATTTTCAAGGCAATCTACCTATGCATGTGCATTTTACAGCTCTATGAAAAATTCTCTCTTCAGCAGAAAGCTCAGCTCAACTTTAATTGGGGAAGTTGCAACTGCTGCTCTATTATGTGTCTAATCTATCATATTTCTAAGGCACCTATCAAAGTGATATCTAAACAGACAGCTCTGAAGTAGCCAAACATTTACTGTGCACAAAGGGCTCTTTGAATCAACGCTGTTATTTCCTTTCAGAAGCAGGTGTTCACTACAACTGTTTGTTTCTTCTCACTGGTCAGTGGGAACTCAGTGCCGCTATAAGCACAGTATGCCTCATGTACAAATGTACATAACTAGACTTCCTAGCTCCATTTAGTTTGCCCCATAGAGGTAAATCTCTTCCACATTTGGGACATATCTCCTATTCCCCAGACAATTTCTACAGCTGTCACTGTCACCCCACTAGCTTCTTCTGCACCTCCTCAGAGTGTTCTCCACCAGTTTGTTCCTCTCCCTTCTAAACAGAGTGACCAGATGTCCCTATTTTATAGGGACAGTCCTGATATTTGGGTCTTTTTCTTCTATAGGTGCCTATTACTCCCCACCCCCTGTCCCGATTTTTCACATTTGCTGTCTGGTCACTCTACTTCTAAAGCACATGGCTGGAGCAGGGAACTGAATGAAGTGTGTGAGGAGGGCAGAAGTATGCATTGCTATATTGCTCTTTTTCACATGCAAGGTCTTGCTTTACTTGTGTTCGGCTTCCCTTTTTAGCCCATGTGCACCAGAGAGTCCTGAGGACTGGCTTGTCAGAGAGGAGTGAAAGTTCCACATGGATCTCCTGCTGATAATAGCCCACCTTAATTGATTAGTCTCATTACAGTTGGTATGGCAACACCCATTTTTTCATGTTCTCTGTGTATATGTATCTTCCGACTGTATTTTCCACTGCATGCATCCGATGAAGCCCACAAAAAGCTTATGCCCAAATAAATGTGTTAGTCTCTAAGGTGCCACAAGTACTCCTCCTTTTGAGAAACATTTCCTTTAATATTCCTTATCCACCCGTTACCCATTACAGGGCCTGAGCACCTCAGATTTCTGCATAAAGAGTGTGCCAAGTGTGCAGGGGGTCTGAGGCCATCCTGGGCCAAATTATCTGCTGATGCCACTCCACTGAAGTCAGTGGAATTATGCCACTAGAAAATGTGGCCCTTTTTTCTTCCCAGCATGCTTGTCAGAGCTGAGAAATTTCTTCTCCAGCTGGAAATGTCAGCGGAAACCTTGTGAGAGTCCTGTGGTTCCAATCAAAGGAAACCATCTACCAGAGCACGAACAGCAGTTTCTTAAAACAATAGCCCTATGATGGATGGAAAGATAGTCTTCTGGGAAAAAACCTAGCAGGTGGTCCCCGGAGTCCTGATTCTAAGTTGTCTGGATGCTTCCAGAGCAGGAAGCCCTTTGTCACCTGATCGCACAGAGATCCAAAAGGCAGCATGCTAAGTGAGCCTGCCCCCACAACCTTGGGGATCGTCCAAAGGAAGCGAAGCTGCTTGGCAAGACCTTCCTTATACACCCAGACCCTGCAGCCAAACCAGAGCTTTTTTGCGTCACAAACTAAAGCCCTGCTCATTTATTTCTCAGAAAATGTTCTACTGTTGAAGGGTGGCAGCTTGACAGCTTTGCCCTCTGAAGTCCTCTGCTTCCTCACAGAACAGGCACAGCACAAACTGACGCGGGGCATGTTTCCAGAGCAGTGTCCCTCAGTCCTGATCTGGAGGGACCCCTGCGCCGGAATGCACCCCTGTACTCATACCTTAGCCACTGTTGTAATAATCTTGGTACAAGGTATGCCTGGTGAGGTATTGTTTGAAAACTCGTAACTTGCTGATCAGTAAGATCATGGTAAAAATGTGTGCAGTAGCATTGTGTGTAAAGTTATAAATTCCCCCCTGTACAATGTTAAAAATATATATGTTCAGACTCACATTGCACCAAATTGGTCAAACAGACCTGTCTTGAACAAAGGAGTGTATACTCATCTTAATTTGCATTTAGGCAGTAAACAGAGTCATCAAGCAGAAAGGGGGAAGGGAGAAAACAAAGAAAGCTCACACAGGTGGAAAAAACCCAGCAGAGAACATCCTTCCACACGGACTCTTTGTCTCCGGATTCTCAGCTGGAAATGCTTTCCAAAGGGGAACTGAAATTATAAAAAGGAGCGGCAAACACCCCAAGGGACCCCTCTCTGTCTCACTATCCACCTCACCCTTTGCACCCGAGAAGACAAAAGAAGCAGACGTCGGACTTGGGGGAGAGGTCCTGACCTCGAGGTTGGTCAGTAATACTGCTGGAAGCATATGTAGAGAAACTTTGCTTGAATCTAATATAGTTAAGTTAGGCACGAGAAAGCTTTTTATCCTTATTTTTCATGTAACCATTTCTGAATCTTATGCCTCATGGCATGTACTCACTTAAAATCGCTCTCTTTGTAGTTAATAAACTTGTTTTATCTAATCCAGTGTGTCTCTGTCTCTCTCTCTCTCTGCATTAAAGATTGCAGTAGCTCTTGGTTTTGCTTCACAGCAGAAGGGCAACAAATAGCGGAACCACAACTTGGTTTGAAAATGGAATTCTCCTTTTCTGACCAGTCATAGCGGCAGACACGTTCTGATGTAGCTGCCAATCTGTACTGAATACAGGACACATTCACTTGTTGCGTACAGGGTTGTGGTTACAGAGATATCATAAGCAAGAGGAACAGAAATTCTTTTATAGGTGTGAGTTTATTTGCTTTTCTCTGTGGTTGTTTAGATTTTACAAGACCATAAAACTATTTAAACTGAGGACGTAAAAAGAACCTGGCAAAGCTCTAAGAAAGTACAAAACCAACCACCCCACCCCACCCAGCTCATGGCACACTGGCTCCACCTCTGCACCCCTCCCATCGAACCTGGGTTCCATTGTGCTCAGCAGTGCTTTTGGCAAGATGACGAGGTGAATTCTAGAAGTTTTGTGCAGCTCCATATGTGAGATTTCTAGACCGTAAGAGAAAGTCACTGATTTGCCTCGCTTGGCTTCAATGAGACCATTCCTGTTCTTAAAGTTATGTGTGAATTATTATTTATTCATATCACAGCAGCACACAGCAAGGCAAAACCGGTGCCTCATTGTACCAGGTGCTGTACAAACACACAGTGAGACAGTCACTGCCTCGAAGAGCTTACCATTTAAATAGATGAGACAGACAAGGGGAAATACAGACACAATGCGATTTGCTCAAAGTCACCCAGGGGCTTAATGGCAGAGGTAGGAATTGAACTCACATCTCCTGAGACCCAAATCAGTGTCTTAACCACTGGATCACACTACCTTGTCCATAATCTGGTGGATCAAGGCCTTTGAAATGGCCTCTCACTGGCAAGAAATGTCTCCTATAGAACTGTACAGGACTACCAATCCTTCCACCCCTGGGGCAGGCCTGTAGCTAGGTAAAAAGACATGAAGTTTAGGAAGAGATGGGTCCCACCTCCCCTGCTCAATATATATAAACACTGAACAGGGTCACAAGTGATCCTCCCCTGAACAATTTGATATGCCCCTCTTCCTGCCACATCAATTACTACCCCCATCCCCTACCTTTTTGTGGGACCCTTCTGCTCCCCTCCAGTGACTCTCCTGGGCACCAGAACACTTTGTAGGATTCACCCTCATCATCTTTTCTGATGTTCCCATAGAATTGGTTTAAAGTAAGGATCCCATTTGCAAATGTTTTTTTTTAAATGCCCCTGCTAGAGCATTTGTTTGGAAACACAGATGTGAAGGGGCTTCTTTGCAGTCTGTAATGGGGTGTGTTGCACAGATTTTCCAGTTGCATTGTTTAGAGGCCCATGTGAAACTTTGGCTTTAAATAGGAGCACACAGGCAAGAATATTTTGGGGATCACCGCAGGGACTTTAATATTTTCTCCCAACTGTAGGGCTGCCGCTGGGCGCTGGTTTATTGTGCCAATTATAAGCTTTACGCCTTGTACGCATTGCAGGCACAGGGGTCTGCTCATGTAGATACGCCAACCACAAGCGTATCTACATGAGCAGACCCCCGTGCCTGCATGGAACCTGAATGAAGTCAGTGAGGCTCAATGCAAGTGTTGGGTTGTCTCCATGCAGATCCAATTACGGGATCTGGCCTTGGTTTGTTATTGGTGAATTGCTCAAGACAGCTGAGCTGCATGCACAGAGCTATTATTGGGAGTCTACTCTCAAGAGCTGGGCTGTGCATGCTGG